AGCAGAAAGTCTTTTGTGCGAGCAGAAAGCCTCATCAGTCTCCTGAGGAGCAGATGGTGGATTTGAACCATCCACCTTCGGGTTAGCAGCTAACCCACCATGTCACCAGAGCTCCTATTTTACCTTGCTGGGGCTGGGGGGTGGGGTGATGTTCCAGATCCCTCCCCACCACTTCTGCTGGCCTGCGTTCGTGGGTCTTCCATTCCATAGACCCCCATCGTCCGAGAAGGCACCTGTGCTTACACGTTTGGTTGGTTGGTTTGAAACAAACCTGTCTGGCGTGACAGAATCCAGGTCCTCTTCCGTTTTCTTTGCTCTGCGTAGAACCGCTCGGACCAATGGTGAGGTCTGAAGGGCCGGCATCTGCAGGGTTGTGAGGGTGAGACTCTTGCCTCTCTCTTTTTAAACGTTAACTTTTTATTTTGGTTTCTATTTACTGATATGTATATAGTTAATGTTTCCCTTCCGTGCTTACACATTATAAAAAGGGTGCCACCTCCCCGCGTGTTGTTGGTGGTGTGTGTGTGTGTGTGTGAAGTACGTGTACAAGCTGTGGAGGTTTGTTGGCATATGCGCATGCGTGAGCACCGCTCATGGGTGTATCCGGTGTGTCTCTGAGATCTGGAAGAATCTGGGACAAAGAAGCAGCCCAACAGGGAGGCGGGAGTGTAGGGGTGGGTAAGGGGTGACAGTGGTCCAGCAGGTGAGCTCCTGGGAAAAGCCCCGGTGGGGGGAGTGGGAGGTGGCTGAACTCAGATCTGCTAGAGAGCCTGTGACAGCACCCCTCTGTGCAGCCAACCCACCATAGTGACGTCATTTCAAAATTGGACACTTATCATGTGCCAGGCATGGATCCCTGTTGTCAGGGATAACCACCAGGTTAGCAGTTCAAAGCCACCCGCTGTCCCACGGGGCAAAGATGAGGCTCTCTGCTCTCATAGAGATGTGCGGCCTTGGAAACTCATGAGGGCAACGCCACCTGCCCTGTCAGAGGGTCACTGTGAGTCAGAGCTAAGTGGACCATTGCGAGAACATGTTCTGCTATAAACACTTCATAAGTAAGAATTCACCTCCCCCAAATTCTATGAAGTAGATACCATTGCTGCCCGATGTTTTCAGGCAGGGAGAGTGAGACCCGAGGGGCCGAGGGGTGATGGCAGGGCCTGAGATGGGGTGTGCAGACCCTGGTTCTGGCTGGGACAAGCGGGTGCACTGAGCCGGGGCTTCTGGGAACCCAGGTCAGCACCACGGTGTGAAGAAATGCCGCATCAAGTGCAACAAGATGACGTCCCCCATCCCTGTGGCCAACCTGGTCGGCTATGAACAGAACCACGGATCCTGCGGCCAGCGTGCTATCATGTAGGTACTGCTCGCGGGGTCCCGGGACACCCCCACACTCTGTCCACACGCAGCCATGCAAGAGCCTTGGCAAATGCCCCTCCTGCTCCTGGCCCACCAGTCAAATCACTGACCGTTAGACCTGTCTTTGCCGCAGGGGAGCGTTGTCCAGAGTGCCCCACTGTGGCTGGGAGCTGGGTGGGGGGTGGCCTGAGGCAGTCACCAAGGGGTCATTCCTTGCAGGCCGAAGCAACACTTAAGCCCACTGGACTTCATGAGGGATGTGAAGCCAGTCCCGGGCTCTGACCCAGCTCTCACCACTGACCGACCGCTGGGTGGTCCTTGGGAGAACAGACATTAAGTCACGGCTCTAAAGTGCTTAGCTGGGCGCCTGGAAGCTGCTGACAATCAGAAAGGCAGCGATCACAGGCTCCCTTCGGTAGCCGAGAGAAAGGAGGTGCTGTGCTAACCACAGAGTCGGTGGTTCAAACCCACCAGCCATTCCACAGGAAAAACACGAGGCTGTCTGTCCTCATCAAGATGTACAGCCTTAGAAGCCCCGTAGACAGGATCACTAGGAGTTGGGATCGACTCATGGTAGTGGGGTTTCCCTGGAGACTTCTGGGAAGGATCAAGCTGAGCCCGGAACCCCTGGAGGTCAGGAACCATCCCTCCGGCGAGTGGACACTCCCTGCCCTTTTGGCGATCCACTGTCCTGGGGTCCTCGTGGGCACCATCCAGTGGCCCAGCCTGAGGTCCTGCCTTAGGGCTGGCTTTTGGTAGGGGCTGGGGGCAGGAAGTGGCGAGGAGCCTCTGGGCTCTGGCTCGGCTGGAGGAAATACGGTACTTCCTCTCCTTCAGGCTACGCCCTCTCCTCGAAAGGCAGATTGAGGTGTGGGGCACCCCCAACCCCACCCCCAGCCTCTCTGCTCGGCCCTCAGGGCTCACTTCCCCAGCCTCCTGCTTCTTTCTAGGTGAGCAGGAACAGTGCAGCACCGTGCCTGTGGGCACCCACAGCGGGGCCACATTTGCTTCCTGGGCTTCTCTGACTCCCCCCCACCCCTTTTGGAGCCCGGCAAGCATACTCCGGCCCTCTGAGCCTCAGCTCCCACATCCGTAAAATGGGGTGAGTTTGGAACAAACCAAGCAGCATGGGGGTCAGGCCTCACTACGGGCAAAATGCCCAGCCCATCTGTGGCACAGGGCAGAAGTACGCTCTGAGGTAGGGCCTGGGCAGGGAACCCGCCCCTTTCTCTCACAGCTTCAGGGAAAGCTCAATATTTGGAACATGGGGTCACGACAGGACAGCCATACAGATCCCTCTAGTTCCCTCGGTGGCCTGGCAGCCCAGGGGCATTCACCGCAGAGCAGGGACTGGGCCCAGGGGCCAACCTGGAGTCAATGGGTGTCAATGAAGAGACTTGTGAGGTTGATCCTTTCCGGAGCAGAGGCCTGACCACCCAGTGCCACGGTTCCCACACCTGACAGGACAACACCTATGAAGTCACCCCAGATCCGGGCCTTAGCCCAGAGCCTTTGTGGCGATATGATGTCATTGTTAGCGTGGTTCTTGTCCTCGGACAATGACTCAGCGCCCCGGCTGAGCCAAGGAGCCCTGATGGCATAGCAGTTATGAGCTGGGCTTCGGTCCCCAAGGTCAGCTCTTCAAAACCACCAGCCGCTGTCCGCTCCCATGAGATGGTACCATCTCGGAGAGTCACGGGGCAGCTCTACCCTGTCCTACAGGGTGACTGTGAGTCTGCGTGGAGGTTTGCACTTTGCAACAACATAATAGGATGACCAATTCACGCTGTCCAGCCCGAGCTGTCCTGGCTTTAAAATCGAAAGTCTCTTGCCCTGAGGGGGCTCAGTCCCGGTGTGTTCAGGACAGCCAGTCACCTGACTGTGTTGATTCCCGCTCCTGGGGGCCCGCATGCCAGGAGACCTGGCACTTAACAAGCACAGGCAGGGTTTGCAGCCAGCTCTGTCCAACCTGGCCTGGGGCCTGGGGCCTGGGGCCTGGACATCAGTGGATCTCTGTCTCTCTCGTAGCTTGGAGACCCGGAAGCAAAAGTTATTCTGTGCTAATCCAGTGGAGAAATGGGTCCAGGAGGCCATGGCGTATCTGGACCGCCGGGCCGCTGTTCCGACTCCCAATGGCGGCACCTTTGAGAAGCAGATCGGCGGCGGGGAGCCCAGGACAACGCTGGCCGCCAGGGGAGAGCACCAGTCAGCCCTGTCAGAGTCCGAAGTTGCCACCCGGGGGAGCAGTAGCCTGGAGCTGACGCCTCCTTCCCAGGAGACAGAGAAGGACTGGGGGACATCCCCAGAGCTGCCCGCCGGAGGGGCAGTTGGCTCCTTGGGGACCAGGTCCCCCTCAGTCTCAAAGGCTGAGGTCGAAGGACCTCCAACGGGGCCTGTGGAAACTGAGCTGCTTCCTATGGCGGCTGCCCTTTCTACCCCTCTCTCCTCCGCCGCGTACCAGCCGGGGTCAGACCTCCAGGCAGAGGGAAAGGCCCCTGAAGCACGCCCCACCGAGGGCCCCACCACCCAGGGCCCCCCAACTGAGGTCTTCTCCAGCCAGGGCCCCCCCACTGAGGCCCTCACCTCTTCCCACCCAGCCCCAGAGGACACCGTTGGGCTGGGGGGCCAATCTGCGGGGGTTGAGGAGCGGAGCCCCATGCAGGAGAGCGCCCCAGAGTCTGAGAAGATGGGCCTCCGTCCTGCTCACACAGAAGCATTTCTGGACTGGGGTCCTGGCAGCAAGGCTCACACTTCGGTGGTCCCCATGCCCTCTGAGGGGGCCCCCAGCAGGGAGCCAGGGGCTGAAGGCAGCTGGGCCCCCAACACCGATGAGCCCATTCATGCCACCGTGGACCCCCAACGGCTGGGCGTCCTCATCACGCCTGTCCCCGACGGCCAGGTGGCCACCCGGCGGCAAGCAGTTGGGCTCCTGGCCTTCCTGGGCCTCCTCTTCTGCCTAGGGGTGGCCATGTTTGCCTACCAGAGCCTCCAGGGCTGCTCCCACAAGATGGCGGGAGACATGGTGGAAGGGCTTCGCTATGTCCCTCGGAGCTGTGGCAGTAACTCGTATGTCCTGGTGCCCGTGTGAGTGTCCACCCACCTGCTCCCACTTGTGTGACTCAGTCCATTGCCTGGGGTCCCCCATCCTCATCTCCACTCTCATCCAAGGGTCTGGCCGGAATTGGGCTGATCAGAGCAGGGAGGTAGGACAGCTCCCGGCTCTCAGTTACACCCCAGGAGACCAACCCTGACCGTTTGGAGACTCCCTGGGGAAGCACGTGGCTTCAACAATGCCGCACTCCAATGTCCCCGGCTCCAGAAAGTCCCCTCTGCTGCTGGCTGGCTAGAGGCTCCCTTAGATGCTGCCCCAGCCCCAATGCACAGCTATTTATTGAAAGCCCAGCCCCTCAGACCCGTGCCCCCCATGTGGGGGCCACACTCACCCACATCTGACCAATGAGCCTCAGGCCAGGCCCCCACCCCACCCTTTCTCAGACTCATCCTGTCTCTCTGTCCCCACTGCAGTCGCCAGCCCCCACCCCACCCCCGGCCACCTGCGGTGCTATCTCTCCCTGTCCCCTGTACAGAACCCACCCCCAAGCCGGGGACACGTCTTTGAAAAATATTTCTGCATGAGGCTAGTGTGGTGTTTTCGGGGTGCGTCCCAGCCCAGGCCCCGTCCCCCCCGTCAGTCAGGCTTTGCAAGACCTGCGAGTCTGGTGGTGTCCCTCTTCCTCCTGGTCCTGGTGGGGCATGAGTGTGAAGACTAGGCTTTGAGCCACAGGTCTGCCACCAACCCCACAAGGCAGTCACCGGGCTTGAGTGCCGCCCCCTCTCTTTGCTGTGCCTCCGATTTCCGTTTTGGAAGGAAATCATTGGATGAGAGAGAGGCGAGGAAGTACCCCGGTTAGAAAACAACAACAAAATTCACACAAGTGTCCCTGACAGGCAGAACCAATCGATTCAGATGCCTACTCCTGGAGGTAGCCTCAAAAGAGCACCTTAGCCAAGCCATGTTGGTTGGCATGTATTTGGATCTCGTGATCCAAGGATATGCCTTGTTGGAAGCGAGTCCACCCTGTGGGCTTCTGAGGGGTGACTGGGCTACGGTCCTTGAGGGACCAGGATACCACTTTGGATCCCCCTCCCGGACCTCCAACGCGGAAACAAGTGCCAGCCCTGTACCGACCTGAGGGGTTAGCTAAGGGCGGAGGGGAGGGCCTTCCGGCTCCTTGGAAGGCTGATGTCTCCGAGGAAGGAGACACAGAACAGCTCAGGGGTGGGGGCTGCTTGTTCAGGGGACCAGCCTCTGTGTCCCCCGATCACGCACCCCAGGACCAACCTCTGCCCTTTGATCCTGCAGCCTGCCTACCCCTTCCCCTTCTCTCCTTTGTAAAGCACTGTTCTCTGCACCCAGAACCTTCTCCCTCACCTTGACCCCTACCTGGGACAGGGACAGGAATTTCCAGGAGTTTCCATGAGCTCAGGGAACCTGAAGTTCCTGTCTATGTCTGAAATGGATGGCGCTGGGAGGGCAGCTGTGACCATGAGTCAGGGGTTCTCTGACTGCTGAGGGCCCAGGATGGGGCTAGTGGGGGTCTGAAGGCTGATTGGGCTGACCCCCACCTGAGGGGCAGATCGGACCTGCAGACCTTGTCCCCCAGGGTCTCTGGTGGCAGCACCCCCATTGCCCTCAAGGGTGAGCCGCCTGAGGAGACTTGCGGGCGGGGCTTCATCGGGGAGCCCATGGGAAGACCACAGCTCCGGTACACAGAGGAGGGGCCTGCTGCTCTGCCCACCGGCGCAAGTCACCATCACCTGGGCCAGACAGAGTACTGAGATAGAATGGTGACCCCTCAGGAGCCCAGAGGAGGGGAGAGCAGGGCTGAAGGTACTTTGTTCAGGCTCCTCCAGCTTGGGTCAGAGCCCCAGATATGTGAAAGAGAGGCTGGGCCGGCCGGGCTCCTTCCACGGGCATGGCTGGTTCCTCTAAGCAGGACGCGGACGGAACAACAGTGAAGGACTTTGGAAGGAGCTGGTTGATCCTTTTGCTTTTCCAACCCTTATCACCAATGTCTGTGCCATTTTGTATTTTAATAATAAAATTTTAAAGTCTTGTGAATGAACTAACGGTGTTCTTTCTGCAGCAGGTACAGGCAAGGCCCGGTGTCTGACCTGGGGGCCATGCATCGAGAGGTCAGAGGGGCCTGAGTGTCTACGGTCAGCAGAAGGGACGGGGTTGGGGGGTGGGGGGTGGGAGTGAGGTGCATTGGGCCCCTGGCCTGGCTCTGCTCATTCTAGTGCAGTGGTTCTCAACCGTCCTAATGCCTCTCATAACACCCGATTCGCCACAGTAGCAAAATGACAGTGATGAAGTAACAGTGAAAGTAATTTCATCGCTGTCATTTTGCGACTGTTGTGAATCGGAGTTACCAGCCCATTTTGCTACTGTTGTGAAAGGGTCATTCGACCCCCCAAAGGGGCTGCGACCCACAGGTTGAGAACCGTTGCCCTAGGGTCTTAATTGACGTTCTCTTGATTACTTCTTGGGGGACCCTGGAGGTACAGAGGTCGTTCATGGGGCTGCTAACGTCAGTGAGTGACTAACAGCAGTTTGAAACCACCAGCCGCTCTTTTGACTCTTGTAAAGAATTACAGTCTCTGAAACTCACAGGGACAGTTCCACCCTGTCCCACAGGGTTGCTAAGGAGTCAACATCGACTTGATGGTAGTGAGTATATATATTTATATCCTATATATACTCGAGTATAAGCCAACCGAATATCAACCAAGGCACCTGGTTTTACCATAAAAACTGCATTAAAAATGTACTGAAAAACTCAGCTTATACACGAGTATATATGGTATACACACACATATATATTTCTTTGGGTTCTAATAACCATTACAATAACTATTCAGAAACTCACAGATAAAATTGATGATTAAAGAATTTTTAAAGAGTTCATTAAGGAAGTTAACAAACTGCCATGCCAGTAAGAAATGCTCAGGCTTGTTGTTGACCAGGTACAGCTTACAAAGTGATTTCAGGTCTGTTTATAAATGCCCCAAGGGGCACACCACTCTGTTGTGAGCCTCAACCCCCATCCAGCTCAACTCCGGGGGTCAGCAAACCCAGCCCCTCGATTCAAGTGTCCAGAGGCGCCCCACTCCACAAGCACACGCTTTAACTTGCTCGGGGGTTGGGGGAGTCCATCAGTCGTTCCACGCACTGCTCCTGCTTCTGCTGCTGCTCCGCTGAAGCTGTAGCTGCCGTCTGGACCCAACAGGAGGGATCTCAGTCCAGAGGACCGCTGCACTCCTGGCTCTTGCTGGCAATGCGATCTCTCCTCCTGCTTCTCGTTTTATACGCAGCAGGGTGGCATTCTAGGGGAGCCTGTTGGCAGGTACTCGCAGGTGGATGCTCTCAGGTCTCTGCCCCACCTTGTCACCAGACCCAGGCAAGGAAGGGTCAGGTGAAGTGCATTAGAGACTTTGGTCACTGCCCCTGCACCTACACAGCTGTGTGGTATTGGATGGGTGCCTTTACCTCACTGGCAGTACAGATGTGGGCGAGGTATCTCTCCTAGCAGCTCCCATGCCAGGCAGGGGTGAGATGCCCCTGTGGAGCCCCATCCAGGGCCAATGAACCACCAAGTTGAGAACTTAGTATCACCATTAGTGGTGGGGTTTCCCACTGAAGCCAACCAGGCCACGTCTTCCTCCTTGCTGCCTTGATTCCTCTTCTGTCTTCTTCATTCAACGTCCAACTTTCCTGTGTGTCCCAGGGGACGAGGATGTCATGGCTGGCGTCAGGCGCACCTTGGTCCTCAAAGTCACATCCGTGCTTTGTAATGCTTTAAAGAGGTCTCGTGCTGCAGAGTGACCCAAGGCAAAGCGTCCTTTGATCTCTTGACTGCTGCTTCCATGAGCTTCGATGGTGGAGCCAAGCAAGACGAAATCCCTGACCCTGTGGATCTTTTCTCTGTGACGCTGGTGCCCTAGTTTCCGGTGAGGGCATCCCCAGGCAATTCCCCGGGGTGGCTGCAGCAGTCGCTTTCAAACAGTCTACCCAAGGGGAAAGTTTCCCCAACATTAGCTAATGGGCAGAAAGAAGTCGGTGAATAATCTATGTAGAAACTGACCACTCGATTCACGGCTTTCATGGTAAACTGCAGCCTTCCAGAAACCTAGTGCTTTGAACGTAAGCTCTGATCCAGGCCCCAACCTCCTCCCCCACCCCTGCCGCCTCAACCCACACCCCACTCTCCACCAACATAGAACCCCAAGAGGACTTTGAAGCGAACCTCCTTGTTCCTGTCTTTTTCTCTCTATCTCCTACCTCTGCCACCTAATCAGCTCTGACTCACGGCAGCCTGATCAGGGCTTCCCAGACTGAATCTTGTGATAGCCTCGTCCTCCTCAAACCGCCCGCGTCACCGCCCCCCAGCACCGCTGCTGCTGGGTTTAAACCGCCGGCCCTGGAATGACCAGCCCAGAGCTGACCCCACAGGGTCACCACAGCTGCTTCTATGACTCTTCCAAACACCGAAGCCAAACCCACTGCCATCAAGCCCATGCCAGCACATACTGACCCTTGGTTTCTGAGACTGCAGGAGCCAAAAGCCTCCTCTTTCTCCCAAGGAGTGGCTGGTGGTTTTGAACCTCTGACCTTGTGGATGGCAGCACAATGCGTCACCACGATGCCACCAGGGCTCCTGGCCGCTCTTCAAGATAGCTTGAAGGGGCCCTGGTAGGGCTGTGGTTGAGCAATCAGCTGCTGACTCAAAAGTCAGTGTCAAACAGCGCCTATGGGAGAAAGATGTGGCAGTCTGTTTCTGTAACTATTACAGATTCCAGAACTGTATGGGGTGTGCCCTGGAGGCTGGCGATGAGTCAGAACCCACTCGATGGCTGTGAGGGCACTCGGCTTAAAAGCCCTCCATGGGACCTAGAAGACTTGGGGGAGCTGGCGACATGGGGAATCTCCTCTGTCCGTTCATCCCCCTCAAGGACCCGGAAGTTGTGCTGCTTTGTCGTCCCCAGAGCTGCCCTTGAGCTGATGCTCCATGAAGCCGGGTTGGATGGGGACTTGGATGCCTCTGACCTCCCCGATGGCAAAATCAGGGCTCTGAGCAATCGTGTGACTAATCACAGCCACTGTGCATTGGTCTTTCCCACTAACTAACCTGGGCAGTGTGCTGGTGACAAGGGAGTACATGACTTGTTCAAGGGCACTCGCTTGTAAACAACAGAGCAGGGCTAGGATGCTCTCTCTGCAGACCTCAAATCCTAACCACTGTTTCAGCAAAGTGGGACCCACGGCATCCTTAAAGGTGCCTCTTTGCTACTACGTGTTGGCTGTGTGTGGAGAACATGCCCAGCCAGGCATGCTCCACCTCAACCACGCGCTTGTCTACACGTACAAGTGCCGTCGATGATATCCTCAGAACAGTCCCCACGCTCGCCCCTTCCTGCCTGAGTGCTTCCTCCTCCATTGACACAAGCCCACTGCCCTCTCAGGCTCCTGGCTGACCCCCCTGAGGGCCACGTTCACCCCGCAGATCAAGTTCCTGAAAGAGCAGAATGCACCAAGCAGACTTTTTGTTTTCTTTTTCTTTAATGAGCTGAACCAAACCATAGTTTGGTTTGAAGGAAACTTCGGAGAAGATTTTAGTTTAATGTTTCGAAAGTGTTTCCGCGATGGATGGAGGGATTGTGATAAGAGCTGTGGGAGCCCTCCACAAAATGATTTTTAAAAAATAAAACATTAAAACAAGGTCCCTCCCAAAAGCGTTTAAGGTTATAAAAAATTGAAACAAATAAAAGGAACATTGCAAACCTTAAGGTTGGAGAAGAGTCTGGAGCCCCACTTCCACCTGAGTTTGTACTTCAGGGGAGGGGCCAGCGCAGCAGCATTTGCAGTGAGTCCCCCCACCCTCACCCCCTTTCTTCTCCTAATAGAACTTGGGGCTCGCCAGAGTTCCTGAACCTACTGCACCAGGCCCCTCTGGCGGTGGCTACCCCAGTCGTGCCACCCTTTGCCCTTTACCAGAGTGCACCGAAGTCATCCGTGTCTGCTGGGCATTCCCCGGCAGGGCGAGGCTGGTCAGAGCACACAGAAATGAATGGCCGGGAATTTCCAGATGGAGGCTAAATAAAAGAAGCCCTGCCGTGTGCCCCACAGGCTTTGTTCCCTCGTGTGCTCACCTGCTTCCCTGAGTAAATAACGTTTCTGCTGCAGGAATTTCAGGAAAGAGCTTTGGCGCTGGCATGGAGCTGGAGCCCAGGGGAGCTCTCCTAAGGCAGCCCAGCTGAGGAGGGTCGGCCTCTGCCAGGAGAATTCCCGGGAAAGTGGGTGCGGTAGGAAATGTCTCCATGCTCCCTCCAGCAGACCCCTCTCTGCACCTTCCACAGACCCTGTTGTGTCGGGGGAGAGAGTGTTTTGGCTTTAGCAATACAGGAGCAGGCTCTTCCGTGGGGATATCCAGATCCAGTTACTTAACCTCCCTGGGCCACTGTTTTCTGCTCTGTAAAACAGGGCTCTCAGAACCCACCTGGTGGGGGAAGATCTCACCAATTCCCAATCCTTGCTAAGCGGGTGGAAACAAGACCCGTCCATTATGAGCTCCCAGGGAACCGAAGGCTCCCGTTTGCTATGTGCAAGCATAGTGTAAGTGGGGGATCCTATCACTCCAGAACTTCCAAGTGGAGAGGAAGTCCTGTCTATCTCAAGCCAGAGAATGTTTTACACTTGGGAAGAAATGACTGCGTCACAGGGCACCCTAAAATAAAATGACGACAGCTTCCCATCAAAATGAAAATAAAACCGTTAAAATTCCATCGACATGAAAACAACAGGAACGACGAGAATACCGAGAGCCCACAAACACAACACACTCAGCCCAGACACGCATGTGGAACAAAGAAGCCAGCGGCACTCTCGCAGACACACAGGGGAGTGCGGCAATACGTCCATGCCTGGGATAATTACTCTGAACGTAAGTGGACCCAGTCACACACACACACACACACACACACACACACACACACACACACACAGCTTCCCATCAAAATGAAAATAAAACCGTTA